AGTAACCCAAAACCAACAAGGCCATTTTTAATTCCACTCCATATCTATTCCAAAGTCTCCTCTGGAAAAAGGAAATTGGCAACCAATGAACAAAGATAGTCTTTTCCAATTATTTATATGTGTGTATATACATATATATATATATATATATATATAATGCTAGCTATTTTTATTTATTTTTTAAATTAGGGCCTGACCTCTGGTTGCTTCAAGATACTAGCATTAAAAACTTCAGGATCACTTATAGCATCTGTTCGGATTCAGTCTGCTGGACTTAGTAGAGACACCAGATCAGCTTTATCCCTACTGCATCTCCGAACCCCAGAAACTCAAGGGATTCTCTATATATTTTATATTACCTATATTATTATATTATAAATTATATGTTGCCTATATCATATTGTTTTATGTATTATCATATTATATACAGTATACATATTATATACATATTATCATATTATAATATATTTATGACATTATATTATACTTAGATAATTCACAATATTTATAAATAGTCATATGATATAATAGTTATATCTAATACTTATAATGTATAGTATTTATATATTAATACTTATAAATAAATTATATAATATTTATGTGCTATATGTTTATACTATTATGGTTATTATTAGGGCTATCATTTATAAAGCTCCTTAAGATTTGCAGAGCACTTTACATATTATCTCACTTGATCCTCACAACAGCCCTGGAAGAATGGTGCTATAATTATCCCCATTTTAGAGATGAAGAAACTGGGGCTGAGTGATTTCAATTAAATTTCAATTAAATCAAGTGATTTGCCCAAGATCACACAGCTGGTAAGTCTCTGAAGCAGAATTCAAATTCATAATATATAATGTCTGTTAATAGGCTACAGACTGGATCCATGATTTCAGCAGTATAGGGAACTCCCAGGTAAGGAAAGTTCCTCCAAAGCAAGTTAGAACATTTTCTGCAACTTACAAGCTTAGTGAATCACCTGGACAACTGAAGGATTAAGTAGCTTGCCCACAGTCATTAACATGGGTCAGAAGTGGGACTTGAACCCAGGCCTTCTTGTTAATAATGTCTATCAATAATATTTAAAATACTTGTATAGTTAATTAAATAGGAACTCTGCTACTACTCTCTTGACTCTTCTATACCCAATATTATCACAAGAACAAAGAAAGTTATTGCACGAGAGTTATGAATTCTCAAGATTACATGAGCTTAGTCATTTGTCCTCTCTGGGTCTCAGTTTCTCCCTTCATAAAACAAGAGGGTTACATGAAATGATTCCTTAAGGATTTTCTTAAGGCTCTTTCAGACCTAATTCCTCTAAGGCTATTTCTAATTGAGCTTCCTTCACAAGCAGGAATGATACTACTGATTAAGATGTCCTTCCCAAGTCATATACAAAGGCAAAATTGACACTTTAAGATTGGTGGAATCAAAGGAAAATACATTGACCCAAATCTTTTGCTGGACGAGGAACCAAAAATTCATCATTTCTGGTCCTGAGATGACTAAGACTTAAGCAACTCTCAAAGAAACCAGAATTATAACATCCAACCAAGGACTTTTAAAAATGGTTCCCTCCAAATAGAAATAAAATGATAGAAAGAACACTATACTTGAGAGGCAGAAGCCAAGTTTTGATCTTAGATATGCTGTATGACTCTGGGTCCATGACTGCACATCTCTATTTCTGACATTCTGTATGAATGGGGGTGGATGGAAAAGAAGAAGATGACAACACCTTCCCAATTCATGAAGATGTTCACAAGACCAATCAAATCACATAGATAAAATCTAATTAGTACTGCAGAATAAACTATATTTATTAATTTCTATAAATTAAAGGCTATATTTACCAATTGGCATTCAATCTGGCCCTTTCTGCAACAAAAACTGAGTAAATAAAAGAAAAAGAAAAATGGAAATATTGAGTCCTTTTACTGACAAACCTCTTCACTTCAGGAGCATATGGGGCATGAGGCATCTTGCTAAACATATGGTGTTCCAAATGTAATAGTGCTAAATATTTAATACATGGCAAGGTTTTACCGTAAATCACAGCCTCAAAGAGATATGAGTCAAGCCAACCCCGCCTGCACTGCTTTAAAGGAAAGGTAAGGTTTCTATAACTCATTTGGCTTTTCATTTTTCACTATTGATTAGCCTTCTACTAAAATGATGCATCATTTCTGTTACAATAAAGTAAACCAGAGAAGCTGGGGAAAAACATCTAGAAAACAGGAACTTGATGGGAACCACTGCTCAAAATAAACTTCTCATTTTTCCTCTGTGTGGTCCTGAGGATGAATGTGTTTGTTCTCTCTCTCTCTCTCCATCTCTCTCTCACTCTCTCTCTCTCTCACTCTCTCTCTCTCACACACATTCTCTCTCTCTTTGTCTCTCCCTCTCCCTCCCTCCTTCTCTCTCTCTTTCCCAACTCTCATGCTCCCTTGTTTTCCCTCTTCTTCTCCCTACCTTCCCCTCCTCCCCATCTCATCCTCTCTCTCCGTATCTCTCCATTCCTAACCTCTTCTAGACTAAGGGCTCTTAACCTAGGGTCTTCGAACTTGTCCTTTTTAAAAAAATAATTTGATAACTAAATTTCAACATAATTGGTTTCCTTTGTAACCTTATGTATTTTACTTTATGCATTTAAAAACCTTATTCTGAGAAGGGTTTCATATGCTTCAAAGAGGACCAGGACACAAAAAGGGCTGAGATTCCCCAGTCTACAGGCAGAAGAGTGTTTGAAGATAGGACACGCCTTGGAGTCAGGAAAATTCTGCCTCACACACTAGCTGTGAGCCCCTTGTAAAGCCATTTGTCCTATCTGGGCCTCAGTTTCCCCATCTGTAAAAGAAGGAAGTTTTGGACCCAATTACCCCAAAAGTCTCTTTTTGGCTTTAAATCTAAGCTCCCAAAATCTTACATTAGAGGGGATAAATTCCAAAAAATAGCTTTGAAAAAAATGCTATGATTGTTTCTAACTTCCCCATTTCCTCATACAACAGCCATACATGGATTTCATTCAGTTTTGTCATTTACTAACAACTACAGTAAATTCTCTACGAATAAGCCAAACTCACCATTTTCACTGAAACATTACAAGACATTACACAATATTCCAGCTGTTGTCTAAAAAGTTTTAGGCACTGAGATTCTCCCTTACATAATCAATTCCTGGTATAATATAGAGCAGGGGTTATTAATGTTTGTACATCAGTGATTCCTTTGGCAGTCTGGTGAAGTCTGTGTCCCACCCCCTTCTCAGAATAAATACATAAAATAAAATACATATAGTTAAAAAGGAGACCACGAGCAGCTAAGCAGCACAATGGATAGAATACCAGGCCTGGAGTCAGAAAGACCTGAGTTCAAATCTGGCCTCAGATACCTACTAGCCATGTGACCCTAGGCAAGTCACTTAACCCTGTTTGCCTCACTTTCTTCATCTGTAAAACAAGCTGGAAAAGGAAATGGCAAACCACTCTAGTATCTTTGCCAAGAAAACCCCAAAAGGGGTCACGGAGAGTCAAACACAATTGAAAACAACTAAACGATAACAAAGGAAAACAATTATGTTGAAATATAATTATGAATTGTTTTTAAGTTCACAGGCCCTAGGATAAGAACCCCTGGTGTAGAGGGACACTGGAACCCACTACCAATGGACAGCAAAGTTTCACAAAGGATAACAAACCAACATACAAATCAGTCTAAAGGTTCTACTGCCTGTCTAGATGAAATCTTCCAATTGTCAAGGATAAGGGAAACGAAACACATCTGTCTATGTACACGCTGGTTAATACATTTTTTAAATGCAAAGAATCATTCCAAGCAAGCCCTTAGCCCTTCACCATACACACAGGGTGGGGTAGGCAGCCTCATCAGTTCTATTCTCTACATAGCAGCCACTATACCATTCTATCCTTTTTGTTTCTGTATCCCTCCAGAAACCAGCACAGTACCTGGCACATAGTACATACTTGATAACTGTTCCTTGATTCACTCTTTGATCCCCTAGAAGTAGATTTTTTTATGTTGGCTTTTAAAGTAGAAGAGAATGACTAGACCTGTGACTTCATCAGTTTAAGAAACTTCTGAGGATCCTACTTGTACCAATGCCAAGTTGGCACCTTCTCTGATGCCTTAATGTCTTAAAGTCAAGCCTAGAGTAGTCATGTCAAATTCAGGAACCAAGGAACCATGAATATGAATTTCCAATGGGCCACATATTGACTTAGAAAACCACATATTCACATTATCTATCTTTGATTCTACTTTTACTTATTTTGTTAAATATTTCCCAATTACATTTTAATCTAGTTCGGGTAGCACTTAGGAGTATTGGGGGCCTACATGGGCAGCGTGCTGGACATCACTCTACTGGAGCACGAAGAGGTTAAGTGATCACACCAGGATCACACTGCCATTGTGTTGGAGGCAAAACTTGAACTCAGGCCTTCCTGGATTTGAGGCTGGCTTTCTATTGTTTTGTTTTTATAGTAACTAAACCTATTACCTGACCTTCTTCCTTCTTTGGGGTGGTGCAGGGAGCCCACGGATACTTTTCTATTTAACATTTTGGTGTGGACAAATGCTAAGCAACATACAACAAAAATACATCAAAACCAGTATCAGCAAATAAAATAGCTCCTTTCTCAGAAACAAGGAACATTCTCTCCTCAAGGCCTGGAATTTAATGGGTGTTTAATAAATGTTTGATAAGTTTGTGGATTTTCCCTATTATCATAAGGAAGAACAAAGGAAAACCACCAAAAAATACTGGCTTTTGTCCATGGCTATCGGGGCTCACTGCACCCAAAGAGGAACAATCAGGCTGCCAGCTGCCATCTGTAGGAAATGAGATATTTTCCAAAAATTTTTGAAAGAATTTAATCATTATCTCGGAAATTTTGAGAAAAATAGTAGTGCATTACAGTTTGGGGCCTAAGTTACTTTATGGGAAAACCTATTCAGATAAGGTATTTACCTACCCGTTGCTTCTCAGGGTCCACATAGCGAATGCCAAAATAATCCTTCTCCAGCAAACTGTAATAGTTGCAGATGTGGTCTATGAGAAACTGACCTTTGGTCTCCCTCTGCAAAGAAAACACACTTATGTCAACGGGCTGACAACAACAACCCCTTGGAGATCATTGGATTTCTATTCTCCCTGGTGCAATTCTGTCTTTAATCCACTAGGGTATAAATGAGTATGCTAGTGTTACGCAAGCCACCACCAATTTATAAAGCAATTGTGTTCCCAAATTTCATTTGTAGGTCTATTTCTATTGGGAAAATATGTTCTGAGCTACAAAGGTCTATGGTGTAAATGGTGATTCCTTGGCCAGTCTACAAAAATCTAGGCATGTTGTAAAGGACAGAATGTTACTAGATATGGAATCAAAATACCTAATTTCAAATTCTGGCCCTGATACTTAATAGCTATGTGTCTGTGGGCAAGTCATTTTTAACTTTTTTTAGACTCAGTTTTTTTTTTAACTGAAAAAATGCTAATAAAATTATTTCTAGACTACAAAGTGCCAATGCAATCCAATCAGCAAGACTTTTAATAAGTTTTTTTCACTCAATGCTAGACACAAGGGTGCAAAAATGAAATGAAAATCAGGGCCTGCCTTCAAGAACTTTATATTTTCTTATGTCTGGGAAGGAGAGAAATACAACATGCAAATGGGTGAATGAGTATATGCGTAATTATTTGAGGAAGGAGAAAATTAAGAACAACTTGGGGACTGAAAAGTTTTCCCATGAGAGTTAGTAGCACATGACACAGACCCAGAAGGAAGCTAGAAATATTAAGAGGGAAGATGAGGAGGGAATACATTCCAGACATGCTTAATAACCTGTGCAAAGGCACATGGTGGGTACTTCTAAAAGTGAACCACTAGGCTCTGATTCTTATAACCAAGTCACTGCTCAGACTTTTACAATCTAGCCAATAGCTCACAAGTGCTCAGATTCCTTAAACGTCTGGCTAATATGGCGGATCTTTAATAAACCCTGTCTTTGGCTGAAAAAATAAATAAATAAATAAAAAGTGAACCACTATTTAAACAATTTGAACAAAGCAAAAGTATCTATTAAGTGCTTACTGTGTGCTGAGCATTGTGTTACACACTAAGGGCACTAATAGAAAAGTCAAGACCCACCCTAGCTAAAGGAGCTGACATTATAATTAATGGAGACAACACATTTCAGGACACTTTGGCTTCAAGGCAAATGGAAAGGCCTATAAGTCCTAAGGGTTCTACAAGTGGTATAGATGACAAGGCCAATCGGTCCTTAAAGTGTATCATGAGTTCGAAGGCCATAGCTGGAGGTCTGACCATATAATAGCAGCAAAATAATATGGTAAGGGCTGGTAGTTCTCTGTGTCTCCATGGAAGGATTATAGTTAGTGACTCCTAGCTCTTTAAGGGGGTGGCTAGGTGATGCAGTGGATAGAGTGCCAGGCCTGGAGTCAGGAAGACTCATCTTCCTGAATTCAAATTTGTCCTCAGACACTTACTAGCTGTGTGACCCTGGGCAAGTCACCTAACCCTATTTGCCTCAGTTTCCTCATCTGTAAAATGAGCTGAAGAAGGAAATGGCAAATCACTACAATATCTTTGCCAAGAAAACTCCAAATCAGGTTGCAAAAAACTGAACACAACTCAACAACAAATATACTTCAGGCGCAGCTAGGTGACTCAGAGGATAGAATGCCAGGCCTGGAGTCAGGAAGACTCATCTTTGTGAGTTCAAATCTGGTCTTGAATACGTACTAGCTGTGTGACCCTGGGTAAGTCACTTAATACTTTTTGCCTCAGTTCCTCATCTTTAAAATGAAATTTCTTTAAAAAGAAATGGCAAAGTACTCCAGAATCTTTGCCAAGAAAGCTCCAAATGAGGTCCTGAAGAGTCGGACATGACCAAAATGACTAAACTAGAGCTCATTTAACCTAGATAACCTAAATTTATAGCCCAAGTAATACTAAATAGAGTTCGTGGTACTGGGAGCAATGGGACATACAACATAGGAAGAAGAAGAAATGAATTTGCTCCCTCTTTCCATAGTACAGGGCTAACCTTCAGTATCTTTAGTTTTCACTCACATCACTTTCTACCTCATTTTCCAATCTCCAGATGCCTTCCATCTCAGGTCAAATCCTAAAATAGTATGTGACTGTTCGGGCATGGGAAGAATCCTGGAGTGGTTACCATTTTCTTGTGTGATGATACTAAATCTCAGGCATAAAAGATTTCACTCCCAGCCCATGCCTAGAACCTAGTAATACAACAGGCTTCTAACACTGCTCAAAGGGTAGGGAATTAGTACATGCTAGGGAAGAAACCAACATCCTTGTCTGTGTAAAGCTCTAGTTTTCTCCAAAAATCTCACATTGAGACATTTAATTAGGCTATAGTTTACTCTCCTCCCAGGAAAATGCCAGGTAATTAGTTTTACTTAGGAGAGACTAAAAAAAAAAAACTAAACTAAACTAAACTAAAACGGATTTTTAAATTTCAATTCCCATCAATGCTTTTTTAAAAAATTATATCCTGGAGGTTTAAGTGACATCAGCATTTGACAACAGCTAAATCCAGAGACCAAAAGAATAATCAATGGATTTACTAGCTTTTATAGATTTACTCTGTAATCTATTCATCTCAGTCAGCTTCCTGTACATTCAAATCACCAAGCATAGCATTTGAGTTCATTAGAGAATTAACAGGTTCTGGGGGCAACTGTGGGCTGGAAAACATGACAACAAAGCTCTCTTTTTTAACAGTCACTACACGGCACTAAACCTGCCATGCTGAAAAGATGTGGGTGAATTTAAAAAGTTAAAATAGCAAGAGACGGAGCAGACTTAAATTCTGCACAACATTTCCTCCACACAAAGAAAGTGTGAGTAAGGGCAGCTCCCTGCGGGCTTTCTTTTGACCAATAGCCATCCTTTGAAGTAAAGCAAAGGTGACTGTCACTGGGGCTGTCTGAGTGTGGCTGAAAACATGGCTAAGTATATAAGCTCCTTGAAGGCAGAGAATGTCTTTTGCCTCTTTATGCATCCCCAGCACTTAGTATAATGCCTGGCACATAGTAGGCCCTGAATAAATGTTTATTGATTGATTGATGGGATGTCCCCACACAAACACAAACCAGGTATATTTCCACCTGTGGTAGCAGGGTTTACTTTTCTCATACTGGAACAATACAAAAACTCTACCTTATCTCATGTAAATGGGAAAATTCCTATTTGCCAAACATTCCTCCTGGGGCCCAGAGAGACCTCCAGACTGTCAGTCCTTTCCAATACTGAGCACACAGTTGATGCTTTCTCTTTCAGGAACTACATCACTGTTTGCCACTTTTTCTCAGTACTTTTCTAGCTCTTCTGGCACCTTTATTCCTACTATTCTATTCTCTTTCTGTCTTCTATACACTGGACAGAATCTGAGTTGATACCACTGCACAAAATCAAGAGAGAAATCCATGCTCTGTTCCAATTTTTGCCATTGATTGGCTGTAGCCCCTGGATCTGGAGTCAGAAAGTCCTGAGTTCAAACCTTGGCCTCAGATACCTCCCTATATGACCCCAGGCAAGTCACTTAACCTCTATCTGCCTCAGTTTCCACATCAGTAAAAGAGGGATAATAATAGCCCCTATCTCCCAGGGTTATTGTGAGGATCAAATGAAATAATCTTTTTATAACACTTTGCAAACCTTAAGATACTATATAAATGTTAATTATTGTTATTTCTTTAAGTTATTGCAAAAACCAATATACAACTCTTAGGCTATTTGTCATTTGCCATGTTGTCATTTAATATTGAGCTCAATTCTGACACTGAGGAAAAAGCAAATGCTTTCCATCTAATAGGATTCTGAAGGGCAAAGGTAACCAGATTTGATGGACATAGAACCAGATTTGAAACAAATGACTGCAGAAGCTAGAGACCTAGGGATATTTATCCGGCAGAAGGAAAGAATTGAGGAAGAATGGGTGGAGAGAACTGTCTTCAAATATTTAAAGGATCACCATATGGAAGAGGAATCAGGTTTATCTATGTGACTCAATATAGTAAAACCAGGGAATATACAAAAAGGAGGCAGATTTGGGTTCAGTCAAGGAATTTCTCAGTAGTCAGAACTATCAGAAAATAGAATAAGTTATTTCCTGAAGTAGTGATTACACTGTCACTGAAGTTACTCATATTATAATGGAAAAAACCTGGATCTGAAGTCAGAAGACATGGGTTTGAATTCCTGTTCTGCTTAATTCCTGTGTGACTTTGAGCAAGTCCCTTAACCTCTCTGGGCTCAGTTTCCTCAGCTATAAAATAAGGGAACTGGACTAAGTGGCCTTTAAGTTTTCTTCCAGCTCTAACCCTAAATGCAATCCCATCATGATTCACAACTCCCTCAACCTATGTTTGTGCCATAGTGAGAGCAGCTAGTCACTAGAGGGCCCAAGGTACACACAGATAAGTAGAATGATGCCAGATATCACATGGCTCCTAATCTTAATTTTTCACATGAGTGCTTCCAGATGTTTCTTATCTGCATATAAAAACAGTTTAATGTCATCAAGTTTTAGCATATTATAGAGCCTCCTTAAGAAAACCCACAACCATTCAATCAAAAGAGAGGTCTGACAATTCACACAGGAAAAACAAAATGGAAGAAAAATGCCCATATCCTGACTATGACATGCTGTTGAATGGAAAGCCCATTGAGTGACTCCATCACTACATATGCATAACATACAAACTATGAACCTAGATATGCACAGCAGATGAACTAAAATCAGGGCCCAGAACTGAAAAGAGAAGAGAAATTGAAAGAACGAGCTGAGACTGGGTTGCATGCGGAAAATTAAACAATGCTTTTAATAATCAAAAGCTGCTTTCTGACACCAAAGTCCATATTTTTTCATGAAGCATACTAAAATTAAAATACTCTGGAAATGTTATAAGGCTGGGCAACATGGAAGAACACAGCAAAAACTTCAAAAAACCAGGACCACAGATGATCCAATGGTCATTAAATATATATAGTGGATGTAAATAGAATGTAACATTATTCCTAACAAT